TAGTGGAAACGTTGTGTACCCCAAGGCCAACATCTTTAAAGTGCCCTCAGTCTAAATGTAATAAAATGCTTAGGGATGTGAGCAGGAATTTGATTTTTCATTATCTTGTATAAACTCTGCGACAGATTGGAGTTTCCACTGTGAAACCCGAGGTTCTTGGGTTTATAGCAAGTGGGAGATTCAGCCAAATGTTCTGCTCAGAATTTGCCTTTTGTCTGCACTCAACTTTGGGAAGGACTAGTTTTGATTGATTTATTGCTGTTACACATACCGAGATGCAGTGAAAAGTATTGTTTTACAGATCATACCAGACAAAGTGCCTCAGGGTAGCAGAACAGAGGACAAAATACAGTGTTACAGCTGCAGAGAATCTACAGAGAGAGAGAGACCAGAATTAACATTTGAGAGGGCTGTTCAAAAATCTGATAACAGTGGGGAAGAAGCTGTTCTTGAATCTGTTTATATGTGTATTCGAACTTCTTTATCTCCTGCCTGACAGAAGGGTGTGGAAGACAGTATACTCGGGGTGGAAGGGGTCTTAGTTTTGCAAACTGCAAAAGATAAATAAGGGGTGTAATTTAACGTTAAATTATTGTGCGTTGGGTGGACATCTGCAGCAGTGACCTCTGTGTAAAGAGTTCTGCCTTTATTTCTTGGAGAAAGCTCAATTCTAATTTCTGCTTTTCAAACACTTCACAGTTGGAGCTGTGTCTGCAACTACAGTTGCAGGTTTTGGTGCATTTCCTTCAAACTGGTCTTTTTCTCTGGGTTTGAGACACTGCCGACTATTGGATACATACAGAGCCTTTAGATTCTCTGATCACTTGTTTCAATTTGCAGATTTGTTGCTGTGTTTCCCTTCATTAGTGATCCCACTGCTAATGTACTTGATTGGCTGAGACACCTTTAGGCCATCCTGATGGAGTGAATGCACCATGTCATGGCTGAGAAGGTTTGTTCAGAGTCTTTCATCTTGTTTTCTCATCAGCAAGAGTTGCTGACACATAGAAAGGTTTGGGGTTTATTGTGAGGAGAGGAGCTGAGAGAGGAGTAGAAGCTTGAGATGAAATGGTGAAATGTTGGTGGAAATTCACTCCAGCCCCTCTTAGATGGTGCCTTCTAAACCAATGACTACTTCCATCTAGAAGGGCAAGGGCAGCAGATACATGGGAACACCACCACTTTCAAGTTCCCCATAGAGCCACTCACCATCCTGGCTTGGAAATATCATCATTCCTTCACTGTCACTGGGTCAAAGTCCTGGGATTCTCTTCCTAAGGGCATTGTGGGTCTACTACAGCACATGGACTGCAGCGGTTCAAAAAGGCAGCTCACCACCACCTTCTCTTTTGGCGACACAGTGATTCAATGGCTAACACTGCTCCCTCACAACACCCCAGGGAAAGGGGTTCGACTCTACCCCTGGGCCACCGTCCGTGTGAAGTTGGCACATTCTCACCGTGTCTGTGTTGGTTTCCTCCAGGTCCTCCAGTTTCCTCCCGCAGTCCAAAGATGTGCAGGTTAGGGTGGATTGGCCATGGGAAATTGCCCCAAAGTGTCTGGCGGTGTGCAGGCTATGTGGGTTAGCCATGGGTAATGCAGAGTTACAGGGATAGGGTAGGGGGGATGGGTCTGCGTGGGCTGCTTTTCAGATGGTCAGTATGGACTTGATGGCCTGAATGGCCTGCTTCCCCATTGTAGGGATTTTTTGATTCTCGAGGGCAGCTAGGAATGGGCAATAAACGCTGACCCAGCCAGCGACACCCACATCCCATGACTGAATTTTCAAAAGTGGAATGAAATGGAATCTAATGTTGCTGTTCGATGAGACTATTTCAACTGTAGAAATGTTCCCTTAGGAAGTCAGAGATGCCTGAATCACTAAGCACTTGACTTGCATCAATTTAAAGAAATAGGATGGGCAATCAATTAGCGGATGAAAAAGAAAGCAAAGTTCCTCATGTCTAACTGTACTGAATATATTAACCAGCAAACATAAATGCCTCAATAATGTCCAATTTTTTTATCTTTACGGACTCTGTACTCTGCAAGTGAGTTATGGGATTAAAATATGTGCACTACTTCAAATCATCAGAAATTATTGTTCTATTGATATGATTTCCAGCATCTATGCTGCCAAATAGATTTTTGTTCTCTGTTTTAACTCGAGTCCCAGGAGACCTATAAATACTGAGAGACATTCTACTCTCTGTGAATTTAGTTTATTTCATGGAAAAGCTGCTGTACTGTGCTGAACATTTTATTGATCTTTCAGTAAAGAGTGATGTTCTGGTAAATGTGGAAATAATAACCCCATACATCAGGTCCATGCTCAGTGAGAAAACCTGGGAGGTGCGGTTGCACAGGGAAATGCCTTGTTATCTTGCTGATGTTTGCAGTTACCTTGTGCTCAGGACTTGTGCCATCAACCTCTGTTTTGTTGAGGTTGAATCTCCATCTGGGTAGGCAGTGCTCTTCCAAGGGCAGTCAAATGTTGCAAGACAGCCCACAATGAGGATGCAGTGACAATTTGATGTTGTCTTGCCTATACCGGTGACTAGGTGGGAATGAGATCTCGTGGCACAGTTTGGAGAGGAGTGTGAAATCCCCTTGCCCTGTGTACCCCTCTTAGCCAACGCCATCCCATGAGGTGGGAGCAAATCACTGCAGATGCTGGAATCTGTACTGTAAACAAAAATTGCTGGAAATCTCAGCAGGCAGCATTCGTGGAGAGAGAGCCAGCTAAAGTTTCGAGTCTAGATGACCCTTCATCAGAGCTCAGAGTTTTTTGTTTACACCACTACATTAGACTAAACTTGCTGTTCATCTTGCGTGTTCCTGTCTGTAAAATGTCTGCTCAAGAAGGAGGTAAATGGTATGCTGGCCTTCATAGCAAGAGAAGTCAAGAACTGGAGCAGAATTGTCTTGCTGCAAGTCCTTGGTGAGACCACACCTGGATCTTTGTGTGTCAGTTTGAGCTCCTTATTTGAGGAAGGATGTTCTGGCTAATTTGGGGAGTGCACTTAAGGATTTCCAGACTGATTACTGGGATGGTGGAACTGAAGTAAAGGTTCCGTTAGGACTATATTCACTGGAGTTTAGAAGAATGAGGGGGAATCGCATAGAAACCCATAAAATTCGGGATTAGACAGGGTAAAGACAGGAAGAATGTTGCCGATGACCACGGGTCCAGGAACCAGGGGTCATGGTCTAAGGATATGAGGTAGGCCATTTAGGACTGAGATGTGGAGAACTTTCTTCACCCAGGGAGTGGCGAGCCTGTAGAATGCTCTGCCACAGGAAATTGTTGAAGCAAAACAGTGAAGATTTAGAGCAGCACAGTGGCTCAGTGGTTACCACTGCTGCCTCACAGCGCCAGGGACCTGGGTTCGATTCTACCCTCAGGTGACTCACTGTATGGAGTTTGCACATTCTTCCTGTGTCTGATTCCTCCCACAATCCAAAGATGTGCAGTTTAGGGTGGACTGGCCACACTAACTTGCCCATAGTGTCCGGGGATGTGCAGATTAGATGGGTTAGCCGTGGGAAATGCAGGGTTACAGGGATGGGATGGGTCTGGACGGGTCTGGACGAGATGCTGTTTAGAGAGGCAATTTGGACTAAATGGGCCAAATGACCTGCTTCTACACTGTAGAGATTCTATGACTTTCCAGAAAGATGCAGATATGGTTCTGAGGACCAAAGGGTATGGGGAGAGAGCAGGAACAGGAAACTCAGCCATGACCATATTGAATGGAGGACCCAGCTTAGAGGGCTGAGTGGCCTGTTCCTGCTCTGAGTTTCTACATTACCCATCATCAGCATGAACTCAATGGGCCAAACAGTCTTCTTTAGTGCTGTCACCATTTCAGGGTGCTATGCTTGTTGACATGTTGAGTCAATTCTTTTCAAGCTTGTTTGCTCCCTGCAAAATTTTTAAGGTAACTGCATTCTTGGGCTGTGGTCTGAAACGTTATTTTTAAAATAGTGCACAATAGTCCATTGTCACCATCATTGAGATCAGCTTTATTTTCCTGTTTTGTTCATTGAATTTAAATCCCACCAGCTGGTGGTGGTGGGATTTGCACCTGTGTTGCCAGAGCATTAGGCTGGGCCTCTAGATTACTAAAATAAAACAAGGAACTGTGGATCTGAAACAAAAAAACCAAAACAGACGTGTCCTGCTGAAGAGTCGCTGGATTCAAAGCATTAACTCTTTTCCTCTTTTCACAGATGCTGCCAGACCTGCTGAGTTTCTCCAGCAATTTCTGCTTTTTGCCTCTGGATTAGAATCCTACCATACCCAAGTCTGCTGTCCTCAAATTTGCCTTCAAATGTACTGCTCACATCCAGCTAGACAGTGAGCATTTAACAGATGCTGAAGTGTTTGGGTTCCAGTTTATGTCTTAGTTTGGACTGAAAAGTTGAGTTCCTTTTTCTTAAGGAATCAGAGAAAAGAAAGAAACCATTTATTGGAGGCAGTCATGCTTATCTCACTTTATTTTCCCCATGGGGAAGTTTAATTGGATGGATGGGTCATCTTATCACCATGTAGAATTGGCAATATTAAATCAGGAACCTTCAATGTCACAATCACAATTAGGAATTTCTAGTTCCCTGTTCCTCAAGAGAGAAGTCTTCAGCAACAGTGTTGTGTCTCTCTGTCAAAAAGACAAACACTCCTGGCCATCTGCTCCTTTACTGGATGCCAACGTTCAAAGAAATGTTGATACTTGCATAATGCAGTACATTCGGGTGAATGTTTTTGCTGCTGGTCATTTAGAATGTGCATCTTCTATGGTCCAGGTGTACTGTCTCTGAAATGGAATAATCAGCAGCACAAGGCTGGGACTGTGAAGTAACCAGGTGACTTTGATTATAGTCAGATGAGCCACTTTAGTTTCCCTTCTGAGACCAGGTTTAAACATGGCACAGATGGGGACGATTAAAATAGTATCTCTTTATCTGTTAAGGGTCATTAAGTGAAATGAGTTTGAACAGGCTCAGCCTGGTTTTCAGTGGACTTCAGTACTTAGAACAAAACTACCTCCAATCTGGTCGTGTTCTGAAGCTGATTCATTGTAAACTAGATGAAGATGTTTTAGTAAGTAACAACCTGATAGCTTTTATTGTTTCAATATTTTGAAACTGTGTCTCTCTGTACACTTGGATATTGTTTCCACATTGTTATAACAAATTATTTGCTAATATAATTATTGAAACATATCAATTTATAACATTTGAAACATCTCCATCTGTAACATTTGAAAACCAAAAACAAAAAGATAGTATTCCTTAAGGAAGAAGTTTTTTGTTGCAAAGTTTTGGAAAGATACCTGAAGCCAATTTAAGACCAGACGGTGATGCTGGAATTGTATAAAATGTTGGTTAGGTCACAGCTGGAGTATTGTGTTCAGTTCTGGAATCCACATTATAGGAGGGATGCGATAGTACTGCTGAGGAGATTTACTGAGATGTTGCCTGGGCTAAAGAGTTTTTTAGTCATGAAGAGAGAGATTGGATGGACTGGGATTGTTCCCCCTGCAGCTGAGAAGGGGGAGTGGGGGATATGATTGAGGGGACTAGACAGGAAGAAACATTTCCCTTTTGGATGGAGGGATCAATGATAAGGGGCAGGAGGTTTCAAGGGGATGTGGTGAAAAATTTCTTTACCCAGAGGGTGGTGGGAACCTGGAACTCACTGCCTGGAAGGGTGGTATAGGTAGAAACTTTCTTAACATTAAAGAAGTATTTAGATGTGCACTTGCGATGCCAAGGCATACGGGGCTATGGGTCAAGTGGTGGAAAATTGGATTAGAATAATTAAGTGCTGGTTTTTGACCAGTGTGGACTTGATAGGCCAAAGGGCCTTTTTCTGTGCTGTAAATTGTTAACTCCCTGCTTAGTGAGAGAATTAACCCAGTGTCGTTTTGCTGCGCCAGTGTAGAGATGTGATGCCTGCCTGTTGGGCCAGCCCCACACACATGAGTATCACAACAAAGCTTTTCTACTCTTTCCCACCCCGCCCCACACGTGACACTGACTCCTCATTGTATGTAATCTCTGAGGGAAAAGCAATGAAGCCAAATTCCCTAACACACCTTTCACAATTTCCCCATTTGAGGAAATCCTGGTTTCTATGATTACTCGCAAAGAAAATGTATTCCTTTGGGATTAATCAAAGTGCACTCTCATAGGTTTCCTCAAACAAATGAATGCTGAAATGTCCTCTGGGTGTGTGTGTGTATAACTTATCTCCTGAGTTCCCAAAGCCTGTCCACCATTGACGAGGCACAAGTCAGGAGTGTGATGGAATACTCCCCATTTGCCTGGATGGGTGCAGCTCCAACAACACTCGAGAAGCTTCACGCCATCCAGGACAAAGCTCATTTGATTCGCACTGTGTCTACTAACATCTACTCCCTCTCTACCACTGATGCTCAGTAGTAGCAGCGTCTACCATGTGTTTGATACAACATTTATTTAAAAAGTGTTTTTTTTAAAAAATGTTCTCACAATAAAGTGAATTGTGATGCCATTCATTTGGGCAACGCTAAAAAGGGATTTTTTGATATCCTGTAACTTCAGCTGACCAGATAAACAAATAAAATTTTAGTTTCGTTGAATTGTGTATAAAGCAATTAGCAAATGAAAGAGGGGAGAGGGGTGATTATGAGGAACATGTGTTGGCGGTGTGGGTTTGGCGATATTTAGAATTCACTGCTTGAAAAGGTGATGGAAGGCAAATTCAATATTAAGCTTTCAAATAGATTTGGTCAAATGCTTGGGGAAAACTTTGCAGTGCTTTTAGAGGAGGAACTGGAGAGTGGGAGTAATGGGTTCACTCTTTGAAAGAGATGGTACAATGGATCAAATGGTGATCTTCTGTGCTGGATCAGTCTGATTCGATTATGTAAATCAATTCCTTTCATTCTATGATAAAGACAAATCCATGTTAGTCATTACATCTGTTCACTGTTTTGTCAGCTCTAATTTAGTAGCCTCCTTTTTGATATTGTTATCTGCAGTGAGAGACTAACGGGGTCAAAAATACTGCTGCAGGCATTCCCTTTCGGCGATTTGTTAATCTTTGTGAGTTTACAGATTGGCTGAGTTGGACAAATTTTATCATTGCAGGTGCCTCAGCTATCAGGAATGTCTTGAGGAAAGCTACTGCTTCTTCAAATTGAAGACTTTGGCCTGAAAGGCTTATATCGCTGCCTCTTACACCACCACACCCCACACATTAAACCCACAATCCAGTGACTTCAATACACAGTTGGCATATGCTTCTTTTACGTGGAACAATCCCTCTTCCGTACCTACACTGGCCCTAAACCCCACCTCTTCCTCCGTTACATTGATGACTGTATCGGCGCCGCCTCATGCTCCCACGAAGAGCTCGAACAGTTCATCCACTTCACCAACACCTTCCACCCCAACCTTAAGTTTACCTGGACCATCTCTAACACCTCTCTCCCCTTCCTGGACCTCTCTGTCTCCATATCGGGCAACCACCTAGAAACCGATATTCATTTCAAGCCCACCGACTCCCACAGCTACCTAGAATACTCCTCCTCCCACCCACCTTCCTGCAAAAATGCTATCCCCTATTCCCAATTCCTTCGCCTCCGTCGCATCTGCTCCCAGGATGAGGCATTCCACTCCCGTATATCTCAGTTGTCCTCGTTTTTCAAGGACCGTAACTC